TTGTATATATTCGATAGGTCCAGAATATTTGTTGAAAAATTTGTGTACAAGAAAAATTTTACATAACAATAGTTTATATTCACTTGGTAATATTTATCTGAATCTTCTCATTGATGTTTAGGACTGTAATTGATCAGTCTCTTATTGGCATAAACATCAATGGAAGATTCAAGTAAACAACACCAAGTGAATTTAAACTTCACTCCATTGCACAACTAAGTGGTTATCAGGACTAAGTAGCCAAGTGGAAATCGAGGTGTAGTTTGAAGCGAATGGTACTGGGTTAAATTGCTGGAGTGAATATCAACTCTGAGATGCAGGTGCATTCAGCTGATGAATCTCAAGTAGCACGAAACATGCATCCTGGATTCCCTCCTAGCTACTATCCATCTTTGCTTATAACAATAGTTTGTCCGTGTAAATGCCGAAGTGGTTAATTTGTCAGATAAATAATGATGACTCTATGAATGAAGTTTGTCTAGTATACAATATGTATTTACCTCATGTTTAAGAATAGAAGGCCAAAGTTCTGTGTTATTTCTTTTCTGGTGGGATTCTGTACGTTCCTAATCTCTCTCTTAAACTGGTCAGTTTGAAGGTGAGGATATCTGTGAATAAATCGAGTTTACTTGTTTTAAGAAAGACTTTATTCATGAATTATTTTGTTTCATTAAACTTATTGTACCAAATATAACTATGAAAATGTTTAAACACTTTTGAACATAAACAAGCTTTATCTACCAACCACCTTATGCCTATTTTCCATCCTAAACTTAAACCAACACATCATATGTCAGCTTGATACATCTCGCTTAGCTCAGTCCAAAGTATCAGATGAAAAGAAACACAAATATCATGAAAATTGAGGTGTACATTAAAGATCTTATAAAAATAATCCTTTAAAATCACTCATTAAACCACTTAACAAACATATAAATGTCATATATACGACACGTTGTTTACATAATAGTATACCATAAAACTTCAACATGACTAGTAAAATTAATTATAAACAAAATCACTTAAAGAAATGTATTTATTATAGAAGAAATAAGTAATGATATTTTCATTTAAATGTCTGTTTGATTATGTTCTTCATTGAGATCATGAACCGATTGATGTTAGACCATCGCAATTGAAAACCTGGAAGCACTGGACGGCCGTTTCGTCCTGTTGTGGGGCTCCTCAGCAGTGCGCATCCATGATCCCGTGAGCGGGGTTCGAACCCAGGGCCTTCGGTCTCGCGCGCGAACGCTTAACCAACTAGACCACTGAGCCCGCATCCAATGGTGATAGTTTCTAACATCAACCAATTCACGAAATTGCGCGACCAACTTCCGTTGTACTGAGGTAGATACCTGTCTCTACCCGACAAGGATTAGCTCCACTGTTCACGGCTTCTCACTAGAACCCTATACTAGTAATCAACATGTGCTCCCTAGTGACTAGCTTCATGAGGGAATTCTCGGAGTTCAACTCTGGTTAAACACTGAAAGATCAATAAAAACATCAAGCGATTTCAGTCACTTTTGGGCAACTAAACATTAATTTCATATTCAAAATGTAACAAATAGAATCTTACTTACTTACTTTGCTTTACTTTAATTACGTACTTACTTTGCTTCACTTTACTTACTTACTTGGTTATTTTTGGCAATGTAATGAATAGATGTATTTCTTAAAAATTAAATTACGGTGAAACTATGATTTATAGACAATTTTCGAATAACGCTAAACTAACTTTGAGAATGTTCACCCACTAAGTAAGACTAAATGATGGTTATAAAGCAATGTGAGGGATTAAAATTATGATTTATAGTTGATGGTTAAGGTTAAAAATTAGATTTAGGATTGTTATCACGAACTGATATCAGCTATAATGCCAAAACTCTATTCAGTCAAATGGATGAGTGAATTTCGCATCAAAATCCAAGACCTCTTATAACTGATTGGTTTGTCCATAAATTATAGTCTCGCCAAGAATTGTTTTTTACAGAATATTACTGCATTTGGACAAATAGTACGGATAACCAATATTATATCTGAAGATTTCATTTTTCTGAAGTCTTTTGAAATTCCTCAATGTTTCTGTCCATCCATGACAATTCAATAATTAAGGACTCCTGTTTTTCTTTCTGAATAATGTATATCATTGTGATTGCTATAGACATTTTTGTCGTAGACTGGTAAAAACCCCATACTGATAATTACCATGTGCTCACTAGTGATTGGCCTTGTGAAGGGCCTAGACTAGTGGAGCTAGTCCGTGTCGGGTGGAGACGGGTATCTACCTCAGTACAATGGAAGATGGTCGCGCAATTCCGTGGACTGGTTGAAGTTAGACATCTATATTCCTGACTTACGTCCTATACTACTTATATCGATAAAAGTAGCACACCGCACTATGATCTAATTAAATTATGATTTAAGTTAAATAGCTTAACACATCAGTTGACACTGTGTAACTGACGGCAATGAGCATAGATGTAGCGGTAATTGTGTAGTGAACAGAACACGAATGGGGACAGTCGAGTGTGTTTAGCACAACCATTACAGACTACCTCAATAAAATCTGAATACCATAAAGTCAATCGTCAATTTGCAAAATATCAATGCATCATATCAAACTGGACTGTTTCCGTTGCAAACACTAATCCATTGTCTCCCATTCCATTGTACATGCGTTTTCTTACAAATTCCATTGTGCTCTTGCTCTTCCTTTCTTGATCTTCACCTCATCTTCTGCTGCCAGATATTACGTTTTAACTCGTGACATATGCTACTTATATCAATATAAGTAGTACACACCACAGTTGAAGCTTGTTGTCAAGATTTGTTTGCGATTTTGTGAGAGCCAATACCTTTAATGCAATTTAATCCATATAATTCAAGTTATTATTTGAGATAATTTTGATCATTTAAGCATAATACGAAAATTTATGTTTTTGTCATAATTCAGTTTATATTATTTTAAATCTTATTTGAAAGGAAGTGCATCCCATTTTCAAATTATGTTTATTGATAACTTGTTGAAGGTAATGAAAATTAGTTTCAAAGTTTTATGACATGTCACATATTGTGATCACTTGACATATCTGAATATTGAAATCATAAATCGATTGATGTTAAATAGCGGGGTAGTGTTTACAAACTACACTGAAGAAGCCCTAATTATTGCAGAAAATCTTAGTATTCATGTCAGTTTTCAATTAAAACTACTTACTTACTTTACTTTACTTACTTAATTAATTACGCCTGTTACTCCCAATGGAGCATAGACCAACATTCTCGAACCCACTCTGTCTTGAACGTTCCTTTCTAGTTCTATTCACTTCTTATACATTCTTTTCATGTGTATCTCCATTTCTCAGTGTAATGTGTTCTTTGGTCTTCCTGTTATTCTTCCAGGTGAGGGTATGCCTTGTGACATAGTTGGGTGCTTTCCTCAATGTGCATCCTATCCACTTCCAGCGTTTCTTCCTGATTTATTCTTCCACTGAAATCTGATTTGTTCTCTCCGACGGATAGTGTCTGGCCAGTATCTGTAAGATTATTTCATGACGGAAATTGAAAACATAGAATGGGCTGAGACAGTAATGTATGGTGTTCAAAAACTGATAAGGGTGAGTAATAATTGTAGAAAAGTTCACATAAATTTACTATCATTTGATGATAGATATAGAACACAGATGTAGTGCAGTACTAATCGTCTAGAAAATGAACTATGGTAAGATAGATTGTTAATATGGGGTTTTGAAGGTTGTTGAGTTTCAGCTGGACAATCACTTAATGTATGGAAGCACTAAATGACCGTTTTGTTCTAGTAAGGGTATCTTCTAAGAGACGACAATTTTCGAATGATACTATCAGATATCACACAATAGAGCTTGAATTTTGACGCGTTATTCATTCATCCATTTGGCTAAATGGAGTTTTAGCATTTTAGCTGATGTTAATTTGCGATGAAAACCCTAAATCTAGTTCCTACCCAAAACCATCAACTGTAAATCATAATTCTAATTCTTCACATTGCTTATTAACCATTATTTGGTCTTAGTATGTGGGTATTCTCAAGGTAAGTTTAGCGTCACTCTAACGTCATCCATAAATTATAGTCTAACCCACTCTTCAATAGCAACTATCCAAAACCTTTCATCTAGGACAGATTACATAGTACATTTACAGTAAAATGTTTTAAACTAGAATAATTTAAACACTTTACATACGTTTGAGAATGGAGGATGTATAAATTGTAGATAAACAAAAGAAATTCTAAGACCAATGAAATAACATTTGATACACTGAAGATAGCATAACAACGTACAACGATTAATAATAATAATAATGATAATAATAATACTAACAAGCTGTTGTCTATCCGGACTCAGTAGCTAAGTGGAAAACGGGGTGAAATTTTAAGTGAATGGTATTGGGTTAGAGTTCTAGAGTGAATATCAATTCTGAGATGCAGGTATATTCAGCTAAAAGTATGGCAAGTAGCACGAAATGCGCATCCTGGATTCCATAGCTAGCCACCATCCATCTTTGCGTAAATTGATTACAGCTGGTAAAGATTTTAATCAAAAGTGTGAATGTGACAAAGCAGTGATAAGTTGACAATTGTCTCTTATTAAACACACTATTCTATAGCACCTAACCTCCACTTAAGTTTGTTAAAGATTAATTTTACAAAACCCTTCAATGAATTTTATTAACTGACAGTGTTATTCGAACGGTAAGAATTTGTCTGCGCCTTTATATTATTATTAATATTTTCAGTTTCATGTCTTGATAAACATGTATTCTTAGTCACATGTGACAGTTTACGCATATATCATTACCCTGCATTAAAACTTCGTTTCTTAAATTTCTCAATGAATCATTTGCCTTCACATATATGCACTAAAAAGAATTGTCATTTCAAAATTTCAGCAACTAACGTTCACTGTCGTGGAATATGAATACGGTAATGAGTAGTCGAAACGAACCCATGAAATTAAATGAAACCATCATCATCATCATCATCATCATCATCATCATCATCATCATCATCATCATCATCATCATCATCATCATCATCATCATCATCATCATCATCATCATCATCATCATCATCATCATCATCATCATCATCATCATCATCATCATCATCATCATCATCATCATCATCATCATCATCATCATCATCATCATCATCATCATCATCATCATCATCATCATCATCATCATCATCATCATCATCATCATCATCATCATCATCATCATCATCATCATCATCATCATCATCATCATCATCATCATCATCATCATCATCATCATCATCATCATCATCATCATCATCATCATCATCATCATCATCATCATCATCATCATCATCATCATCATCATCATCATCATCATCATCATCATCATCATCATCATCATCATCATCATCATCATCATCATCATCATCATCATCATCATCATCATCATCATCATCATCATCATCATCATCATCATCATCATCATCATCATCATCATCATCATCATCATCATCATCATCATCATCATCATCATCATCATCATCATCATCATCATCATCATCATCATCATCATCATCATCATCATCATCATCATCATCATCATCATCATCATCATCATCATCATCATCATCATCATCATCATCATCATCATCATCATCATCATCATCATCATCATCATCATCATCATCATCATCATCATCATCATCATCATCATCATCATCATCATCATCATCATCATCATCATCATCATCATCATCATCATCATCATCATCATCATCATCATCATCATCATCATCATCATCATCATCATCATCATCATCATCATCATCATCATCATCATCATCATCATCATCATCATCATCATCATCATCATCATCATCATCATCATCATCATCATCATCATCATCATCATCATCATCATCATCATCATCATCATCATCATCATCATCATCATCATCATCATCATCATCATCATCATCATCATCATCATCATCATCATCATCATCATCATCATCATCATCATCATCATCATCATCATCATCATCATCATCATCATCATCATCATCATCATCATCATCATCATCATCATCATCATCATCATCATCATCATCATCATCATCATCATCATCATCATCATCATCATCATCATCATCATCATCATCATCATCATCATCATCATCATCATCATCATCATCATCATCATCATCATCATCATCATCATCATCATCATCATCATCATCATCATCATCATCATCATCATCATCATCATCATCATCATCATCATCATCATCATCATCATCATCATCATCATCATCATCATCATCATCATCATCATCATCATCATCATCATCATCATCATCATCATCATCATCATCATCATCATCATCATCATCATCATCATCATCATCATCATCATCATCATCATCATCATCATCATCATCATCATCATCATCATCATCATCATCATCATCATCATCATCATCATCATCATCATCATCATCATTCTGTCTCAACTTTTTTTTAGATATTATGGCGAAATGGCTATTCAGTAATTTAAGATTTTTCATGGTTGTCTAGCTTCAATTGATTCATGAATCCAAGTGTAAACATCAAAATTTATAAAAAAGAACTCCCCGGAAAAATAAAATTTTTCTGTTTTTTCAATTTCATTTGGTGTTATCTTGATATAACTTGTTGTTAACTTCATATTTATTATGTAGTGGTTGACTTGATCAACTGATTTTGTTATATAATTTATCAAAAAGGAAGTTTAATGTCTAAATATTAGATCATAAGTCTTGAAATGTTTAATTATATCATGTGATAATGCTCATATACACTTTGTGTAGACAGAGAAATCAGAAATAACAGCTTGATTTGAATGAAACAATGAAGGTTAACAAGTAAATTAGTTTAGATGTTGAGCGTTTCCACTTAAGATCTAGGTTCGACAATCAGTGGTGGAGTCGTAGATATGTACCGCTGAAAAGGCCTTTACTAGAGTGAAACAGCTTCCTGGTTTCCAATAGTAATCCATCTAAGATCGGTTCATGATTCAAAATACGGTAATCCTACAAGCTCTGCAAAGTTCTCCATACTACTAATAAAAAATCATGAGTCACAAGTGATTAACATCGAGAAATTACCTGTAGTTCTAATGAGAAATCGTGACTAGCGAAGTTCGATCAGATTAGGTGTGTGCCAGTTACTCACGAAAGTCATTGTAATATGGTTGAAAAAGTATTTCAAGTTGATTGAAGTTAGACATTCACATCATCAGATTCGAACTCAGTGGTCTAGAGATTAAGCTACTGCCTACGGGATTGAAGGTTCTCATTTCGATCCGCGACTGGCTCATAGATGTTTATTGGTGTTATGTCTCAAGCTTAGATGAAATGGATGTTGACTGTTCACTGGTTTTCAAATGATCAGTCCACGATGTAAAATGTAAAACTTAGCAATCTGCGCAACTCTCTTGCTTATTTAAACTAAATTATTGAAGCGAACTCTCTAAGCAATGGGATATGTCATAAAACAAAACTTCTAACCAGTCCAAAAACTTTTTTCAGCAATTTCTGTATATAGAAGAGTGAAGTAACATTTATAAGAAAAAAATAATAATAAATTTGTGACATCTCAATAAGGAAATAATTGATTTTCTGATGTTTAGTTATCTACAATTAGGATCGTGGACTCGCGTTTCATCCTATTAAGGTCTCGTCAACTAGATATTGATATTTACACTTAGAAAAGTTTAAGTGAAAATAAATAAATGACTAATATACATGTATTTTGTCCTGCCTATCCCAAGTTAAAGTAAAGGAGAGGGGCTTGGTGTGAGGTTAGCGACCTCATCCCGTAGAAAACAATCTTGCTAAAAATACGCTAACCAGGATAAACAATGTACACCACTTAAACTCTGCCCTCGGAGTTGAACGATTTTCTTTCAGAAGAATTATGACGCCTCATGGTGAAAGCCTGGATTCTTAGGAAGTCACGAGGTCGATGCCCGTCTTGACAACCAGTGTAACAATTAATATAGGTGCATGGGATATTTGGACGACGTGGGAGACCGAAAGGAACAGTCAAATAGCTACGGAAATAAGGAGATACAACATAGCAATGCATTGAATAAGTGAAACCCATTCGATCAAGCTGGGAAGAAGAGATTAGATTAAAGAGAGATAGATGTTGTTGTACACTGGTCATGAGGAAAGAAATTCTCCGCACACGCAAGAAGCTGTTCTGATGCTATCCGAAGAAGCACGAAAAGCTTTTATAGGGTGGAATCAAATGGATTAAGAGTTACCAAGGGGGACCACAATGAATGTTATCCAGTGATGGCAATGAAGATGATAATGATCAGTCGTTCGAGAAGCTGAAGGAAAGGATTTTAACATCCGGATGGGAAATCTAAACGCCAATGTCGGATTGGACAGCGCCTGGTATGAAGATATCATGGACCACATGAACTGGGAAAAAGAAACGGAAATGGTGACAGATTTGCAAATTTATGTACATTTAAGAAATGATTTTAGGTGGCACAACATTCCCCTACAAACACATTCACAAAGCTACTGGGTATCATGGGAGCTGACATACCTTTAGATCACCACGTGGTTGTGGCCATGCTGAAACTGAAACTAAGAAAGCACTGCACAACTAAAGAAACAACATTACACATGTCCAATATAGCCTCCCTTAGAGGTACTGACAAACTCGAAGAATTCAAGATAACTCTCAACAACAGGTTACAAGACTGATAAGATATATTAGAAGAAACGGTAAAAGTTTCAAGGGAAGAGAATATGAAATAAACATATGACACCACGAAAAAATATCAGGGTAATATAGTAAATCAGAGAGATCGGTGAAGGACAAAAAATGCAAGGCAGTCACTTAGATTTAGAACAGGGGAACAAGTGGGCAGAGCATTTCGAGAAACTCTTAGATTGGCTTGCTCAATTAAATCCGCCTAATATCAAAATAGCACATACAGGCATTCCTTTAGATGTCACTCGATCAAACAAATCACGATGGCTGTCAGAAAAATCAAGAGTGGGAATGCATTAGGACCTGACAATTTACCAGCTGCACCTGAAGTCGGACATAGAAGCAACTGCAAACGTGTCTCACGTTCTATTCAGGTAGATTACGGAGGGCAAACAAGCGCTGACAGACTGGAAGGAGGATACCTCATCAATATGTCAAAGAAAGAAGATCTGAGCAATTGTGAGAACTGCATGGAAAGCAAACTAGTGTAAGTATCAGCAAAGGTTTTCAACAGAGTGTTGCTGAACCAGATGTAAGATATAGTGGACACTCAGCTTCGAGATCAGCAGATTGAATTCATTAGGGATCGCTGGTGCACAAAACAAATCACAACACCAACGATCACCGTTGATGGAATTTGTCACTATACATCAACTGCATTCATTATAAGAAAGCATTTGACAGTGTGGAAAGAAGAAACTTATAGAAAATAATTAGTGGCCCGATATCTGACTGCAGTTACATCGTGTGATGATGGTTATTCAATGGTTGTTATTGAAATAGTCACACTGGCAAACTTCCAACATAATCATCGACTTAACTCGTGTTAATGAATAACGGAATTAAATAAGTCAGATATAAAATGAAGTTTGAATGCATACATTTGATAAAATCGAGGATCTGGACAGACGATCAAGGAAATGGAGCTGCGAAAGCCAGGCTGAACGAAGCGGAGTGGAGAAGGTGAGTGAGTCAACTCCATTTAATCAAGTGTGAATCGATATTTACACTCTAACAAAAATAAGCAAGAATTATGTAATGAGTAGTATAAGCAGGCACAGTTGACTGGATTATGAAGACCTCCATATTCGAGGAGAAGCATAGAATACAATGAACAGCTCGCACGCAACTAGATGATTCGGACATCCTAGTTCACCTAACACTTCTATGACATATACACAAACAAATACAGATGATGTAAAGTAGTCTGGCAGCACCAGCTCCTGCATCAGTACGCTTCGACACATTAGATGGTGGTTGGAGGAGGTCGACAGGAAACCCTGAACCCGGGTTTCATGCTACCTGGTACTCGTCAGCAAAGTGTACCTGTAATCTTGAGGGAACTGGTGCTCCCTGGCGGATTCGATCTCGTGTCACCCAGCTTCATAGTCAGAGACGTTACCACTGAGCTATCCGAGCCGTGACTAACCTCCTGTAGGACTGAGATGTAATCACAATTGATTGATCAGTGGGTGGTGATCAATGTCATGCTTGTCTAGTCCTTATTAGTGCAGATCGAATGCTATCGATCATGTTGCAATGTGGCCACCAGTCTAGGTGACTCGACACTGCGGGCATTGTGTATTGAGATTGAGATGGTGGTTGGAGGTGGTCGATAGGAAACCCTGGACCCGAGTTTCGTGCTACTTGGCACTCGTCAGCAAGGTGTACCTGTAATCATCGATGCATATGAAGCAAAAATCAACATCCTCAAATACAACACGGACAATACCAACATAAACACACTTGATGCAGAAGCTCTACAACAGTTGGAAACCTTCACATATAAGGCTTGCGTCATCAATCAACATGGACGATTCCATGCTGACGTGAATGGATGGATCGCAAAAGTAAGGACTGCATTTCTACAGTTGAACAACATATGCAACTCAAAACACCTATCAACCAGTCAACAACAATGTCACAATTTTCAATATGAACATCAACACAGTTCTACTGTACTGAACTGAACTGAACTGAAATTTCAACAACTACCACAACCATCATCAGAAATGTACAAGTATTTACAAACAATTGTCTACTCAAGATTTTTGATGTCCGTTGATCGCATACCACCAACAACATTTTGGTGTGAGAGAGAACAGACCAACTTCTAGATGAAGTGGTAATTAGGAAAAGATGTTGGGAGTGGTTATGTTATACATTGCGGAGATCATCAAACTGTATCACGAACGAGTGCTAAGCTTGAATAGTGAAGGGAAACGAAAAAGTGGAATATCCAGCAACGTATTTCGCCTAAAATTGTAAGCAGATATCAAGAGACTGAATGGCAGCTGTAAACAAGTGGTAAAGATTGTTGAGGAGAGATTTGGATGGGGAATGCTTATGCTCTTCTATGAGGGGTAACAGGCCTAGGTAAGTAAGTAAGTAAGTAAGCTATTAAATATTATCATTACTTTAGTTTCCCCTAGTAACACTTCAGAAATCTTTGAGAAACAAAACAATACATCCACATCTGCTTCTAAATACACACCTAATAAAAACAGTATAGCAAAGAAAATATTATTTCTATAATATCATCATGCATAGCCAAAAATAATGAAATTTATTTTCAAGTATCGAACATGCGTTACGTAATAATAAATGGTTAGTGAAATGGTGACAAGTTAGAAATAACATGTGTAAGAGAGACGTGAAAGGTGATATTCATATCGGGATGAGAAAAACCTTTGTCGAGTTAAATAGGTGGTTAGGAGCATGGTAAAATAAGGGAATGGACATTTGGCTTGCAAACAAAGATACTAGGCATGAAGTGATGAAAAACCGAAGCCTTAATATTGTGC